TGATCGATGGGATCATCATTCGCTAATTGTAATTGGCGCAGTACTAATGCGTCATAACTAGACTATCACTAACAACGTTAATTACGTTCTCTCAAAATAAAAAAAAGAAAGAAAAGAAGAGAAACAAACTTACCTCAGGAACTGTTCATTTGGCTTTATCTGATTGTTCAGGTTCCGTTCCTAAAAAATAGAGAAAAGGGAATGTTAATTACGTTTTCTCAAAATAAAAAAAGAAAAGAAAAGAAGAGGAATGAACTTACCTTAGGAACTGTTTGTTCAGCTTTGTCCATTCGTTCAGATTCCGTTCTAAAAAATAAAGGAAAGGGAACGCTAATTACGTTCCCTCAAAATAAAAAAAATAAAATAAAAGAAAAGGAATGAACTTATCTCAATAGTTCGTCAGGAACTGTCATTCAGTTTTGTCTGTTCGTCCAGGTTCCGTTCCTAAGGTCAATTATAATGCAAATGGACGAATAACACATTAAATTAAATAAAAAAATTTTTTTTTTTGAAAAGACACTCAAAATCTAAAGGAAAAAAAGAAAAGGTTAGTTTGTATCACATAAAAAGCAGTTCCTTAAACTTGTTCTAGAAGAAAAATTATCTAAAAAAAATAAATTAATAATTCGAGTCAGCTGTTCGAAAATGATCATCAAATTTCATACTAAATTCAGAATATAAACTGGTTTTTGTCTAGTTTTTATTATGGTCCAGATATTCGGTATAAACACAAATACTCATTTATCTCAAAATGTATGAAATGTCGATTTGGTTCATTTTTCCAGCACTTACCCCATATTATAAAAAAGTATTATAAAAGTATAAAAAATTTTTTATTATAAGATAAATTTAAATATAACACTTATATACTAATAATAAATTTACATCTATACTATCAAAAGTAGCTTTTATTAAATAAAATAATAATAAAAGTCATATCTAAACTATCAAAGATAGCTTTTATTATATATAATAATAATAAAAAGTTCCATTTAAACTGTCAGACGTGACTTTTATTATATACAATAATAAAAAATCACATTCAAACTGTCAAACATAACTTTATAATATAAAATTCATATTGTTAATATGTGATTATAAATTGTTAAAGGTAGTTTTTTTATATAAAATAATAATAAAAGTTGTATCAGAAATGTTAAAATGGTTTTTATTATATAAAATAATAGTAAAAAGTCATACTTATACTATCTAAAAATACATTTAACATTAATTTTTTAACTTGAGACTAAGCTAAATAATGCATTTATAAAGATATGCATTTTAGAGAGTTGACTGTATTTATAAATTTTACAAAAATGAGCTCTTTACAGAAAATACATAAAAAATAAAACATAAATCAACTTTTTTATAAGATATTTTATTTACAAACTTAGTTAATTTAAAATATAATAAGTAATAATACTTATTAAAATATATTTTAACATATAATTAGTTAAGAATAAGATTGCTTGTCTAAACTTATTTTTGATTTGATTAAATGTCTAAATCTTTAGTTTTGCTAAATTTTTACTAAGTATTTGATATAGTTTTACCATTTTTATATATTTTAATATAATTTTATCTTTTTCTAAATTCACAGATTTTTAATAAAGTTTTAATATAATTTAACCAAGTTATACCTTTACTTTTTAAATATCTATTTAGACTTTAGATTTTATCAAACAATCTTAGTCTAAAGTATAGTAAAGAACTATATAATTCTACATAATATGATTTAAGATATTTGCATATTTGCTATTCAAAAATTAAGTCAAATATAATTATTTACTTTTATTATACTTACTTCAAATTTAACTAGAATTTCGAATAAGCTGAGCTAACTTTCAAGTCAAATGAGTTGAGTTGAGTTGAGTCAAATCAAGTCATAAAAAATTTGATTTGTTTAATTTGAGTTGAGTTTTAAGTTAAGCTTAACTCAACTCGAGATAACTCAAGCTAAACTCAAGCCTAAAGTTAAGTAAAATTTGAGCATAAACTCAAACCCAAAGTCAAGCAAAACTCAAGTTCAAAGTTGAGCTGAAAAATTTAACAAATTTTTTTTAAAGAAAGTATAAAAAAAATCATTCAGATAGAATGATATATATAGTTCTAAAAGAACAATAGAAGTTTCGTTCTGATAAAATGATAAATTATCAATTTATAAGAATGATAAAAAAATCATTCCTTAAGAACAATAAAACATCATTCTAAAGGAATGATAGAGAGAATCGTTCTAATAGACTGATAATGCATTATTCTAAAGAAACAATAGAAAGAATCATTTTGATAAAATAATGAAAGTATCATTCTAAAGGAACAATTTGATTATCATTCTGAAAGAATGATTTATTATTATTTTTAAGAAATGATTTGATTATTATTCTAAAAAGAATGATTTATTATTGTTCTTTAAGAAATGATTTGATTATCATTCAATTTTAGTATTTACTATGATTAAGGTTGTTAAGCAAAATCAAGAGTTTAGACAGACGTCTAAATAGTAAAGGTAAAATTTGGTTAAATTATATTAAAATCTTATTAAAAAATTTGCGAAATTCAAAAAAAAGGTAAAACTATATTAAAGCTTATAAAAATGGCGAAATTAGATTAAACACTTAGTAAAAATTTAGCGAAACTAAAGGTTTAAATATTTAACCAAATCCAAAATGAGTTTAGACAAGCAACCTTAACTATGATAGTTTTGGTATTTTAGCATTTCAGTATATTTTAGGATAAGTTTTTATAAGATTTTAATATAATTTTAGCAAGTTTCAGCATTTCAGTATTTTAGTAAATAAAAAATCCTTTAATTTCTCTAGTAACTTTCTAAATATACTAACTGTACTAATCATTATACTCATAGTATACTTCTTAATTCTAGCTTAATTAAATATTAAAATATATAATAACTATTTAAATACAAAATGAATTTTATTATAATACATTTTTTTAAATTGAAATTTACATTAATTTAAAATAATAAAAATTATTTTAAAACTATTATTAGTCATATAAGCAGAATTAGGAAGTACAGTGTTAGTATAGTGATTAATACAATTAGTACAATTAATACATTATAATAATTAATATAAAATTAGTATAAATACAATATAAGTATAGTGTTAATTTTATCTAGTATATACAAAATTCACAATCCTAAATATAGGTTTTTTTTAAATAAATAAAAATTAATATTTTAAATAAATAAATATATAAATTTAATATATAAATTTAATATATATTAAATTTAAATTTAAATTTTAAAATTAATCATAAAAAAACTATATAAATTAAAATATAAATTAAAATATATAATTATAATTTATATTAAAAAAAATATTAAAATATATCATAAGTATTAAACTATTTTCAGCTAAAAATTTATAAAGTTGTAAAATATTTAAATTAATTAATTTCTGTATAATTATATTTCTCAGATTTAAAAAAATATTGATATAATTATAAAAAGCTATATAATATAACTATCAAACATATTGTTTAATTTGTTTATTAATAATTTAGCCTAGTACAAATATATTTATAAAAGAAGAAAAAATGATTTTATAAGCCAATTGTATTTTATTTTAAAGATATTTCAAAATATGATATATTATATTTTTTTTATATTATAAAATCTAAATAATAGATAATATATTTATAAATTGAATTATAAAAACTATGAAAAATATTATATGCAGAGTATTCTATAGTAAATTTATATAAATAAACATAAATTTGTATAAATATTTAATAAAAATTATAAGTATAAAATTTATAATAAAATTATAGCTAATTTCATAATTTCTGGATTATTAATAATTTTTCTGTCAGAATCAATCACATTTAGTTATAATATTTTATAGTAATTTTATTATAAAATACTTTCAGCTACATTTAAATTATGAAATTAATAGTAATAAAACTTGATAAAATTTCAAAACTAAAATTTTTAAAACTAATTTAAAATAAGAAAAATTAATTTTGATAAAATATTTTAATTATAAGTTTTATTAGTTTATATGAGAAATTATGTAAATTTACATAAACAAGCAACCTTAATTTTATATTAATTTTTAAATAAAATTAATATAAATTTTATTTAAAATATAATTTTTAATATAAATCTTCTATAAGTATAATAATAAAATTTATTATTTAGTTTATTTAACCAATATAAATTTTTATTAAGATTTTTATGTAATTTTACCATTTTTTCTACTTTGATATAATTTTCGCAGATTTTTAATGATTTAATGTTAATATTTTTTTTTATCATTAACTAATTCTTTAAATTTTATCTAATCAAAATATTGCTAATTTGAAAAAAATTATTTTTATTATTAGTGTTGCTGTTTGTAGTTTAAACTAGTTTTGTTAACCGAAACTATTTTTAGTAGTTTAGGATAGCAACCTTTAAACTGAACGTTACTATGATTATGGATCTTTTGATATTCCTTCTAAGGATAAACAGAATATACTTTTCCCAATTGTTATCGCCAGAACTTTTGTAATTATAATGCAGAATTAGTATTTAGGCGATCTTATATCTAATTAATTAAATAATTCAAGACTTATTGAACATTTTTATTAATACAATAGTTTTGTAAAAAATTTATTAATTTAATTTAATTTAACTATATCTTTTCTTGTGTGGAAAATTTATAATGACCCAAGAAATAGCAGTGGTTTTATTTGTACTATTCTTACCTCCCCTCCCATAATAATGATGTTTAAATTCAAAATGTTTTAAAAAATTTAACATATACAAGGAAAGAATTTTTGATTAAAAATATACTGGCCTATAAACACTAAATAATGATAATAAAAAGAAAAAGAAAAAAAAAGTTTATACAATTTCTTCTTCACCTCTCACAGCCATATATCCGCCAGTTCCTCTTGAAGTCATACTAGTTCTTCGTTCAACCAGAGGAACATCGAAAAGTCCATACCAGTCGACATTTTGTAACATACCACCTTGACCTTGTGACCAAAAGTCCACACAATTATTCCAACATCCAAAATCAAATGGATTTCCATTGGAACTATTATAAGCATTGTGAGAATTCCTTTGACTATTTCCGCCAAATAATCTTAAAAGACCAAGGTTATCATGATGGTTTCGATTATGACCATGTCTTTGATGAGCATGATCGCCAAATCCTTCATCTGTTCCATCCTCAGTAGCTGTTAAATCATCTCCACCATGATCTCCAACTTGTGCGGCTCTACTTGCACCTGGTCCTGCAGCTAGTGTAGCCATAATTTGTTCTCGAACATTTCCACCACTACGATTTCCAAAATATGAATATCGGTGGAAATTTGCCATTTCATTGGTGGTTTTTGCTGTAGCAATCTGATAACTCTGCATACAAATCAATCCAATAGTCCATGTGAGTTGTAATGCTAACCAAATACTCAAGGACATGGTCCATGTGTCATATTGGAAAAATCCACATATCGTGTCATTTAAGAAACATGGTTCGGATGGGATTGGATCATATACAGGTGCAGCACCCAAGAAATCTATCAACAAGAATATATAAATTTGTAAATAACATTTCGGGATCGATACATAGGTTAAAATGGTCAACATATAAAAAAAAATATTAGATAATACATTGGATACAAAGATATTCATAGGTAACAATTGATATAATCATCATTATAAGAAAAATCATAAAAGCACGATGATTCCTCACTCCAATACAATTAAAAATCCACGGACAATGACTAATAGTCAAGAAAAATGTAATTTGTAAATTATCCATGAGAATTTTTCAGACATCGAATGAATAAAATAAAATCTTACTGATCAAATCGTGCAACACATCTATCACATATTTTACAATGCTTCGATCGCAAAGGTTTCTTAATCTAAAAACAAAAAAAAAAAAAGAGAAATTTCACGCGCATTTAAACATCTAAGTTGTAATCCAGTTTAACTCATAATAATCAACTAACCAAGCATGTAATACATAAATGTCTCGCATCCAACATTCCTTTGTTTGCAAGGTTGATTACCAACTAAATTTAACGTAAGAACATTGTTAACAAAATATTACAGAATTGGGATTATTAGTTATTAATTATTACCTCTTTTTGTTCTTCCCGAGCTGTCAATTTTGGAACAAATCCTGGATCCGTCAAAACGGCTGTATAAAAAGAATACAATGCAATGAAATAAGAAGTAATAAATATTATATTTGCCACCGGAAGATAAGAAGTAGCTAAAAAAAGAAAATAAATAAATAAATATATATATATATGTATTTATTTTAATTAATTAAACTCGAATAAAAAAAAAATAATAAATATTATACCAAGTAAAATTTTAAATAGCCAAGTCACACCAACCCAAAAAGCACTTGCTTGAAATAAACTCGAGAAATACGGAGTTCTCATCATTGCATCCGGTACATGTGCTCTTATGAGAACCTTTACTATTAATATATGGAACCCGATAAATTGTCCAATTGCTAGAGGTATCCCAATGAACCACGGATATTGGATTAATATTTGAAATGCAAAAAAAAGAACTAGGTATGGAATAAAATATATGATTGTGTGTGTTATTCGCTGTTCAAAAGATGGAAAAAAAGAGAGATATATATACACATATATATTAGAATTTTGATAATAAATTTTGCTAATATATAAAAATGAAAATTATGACTCACTTGACCAAATAAATAAATTTTTCTATTCCCAGACTTTGTCCATCCAGATTCACTTAAAGCTCTATTCCAAACCTTTTCAACGTTCATTTCTCGAGCAAGGTCCGCAGGAGATTTTCCTTTTTCTTCTTTCGCACTTATATCGGCGCCGGCTTCTATTAATTTTCTCACACATATTTGATTTCCTTTGGTAACAGCCCAATGTAAAGGAGTAAAGTGTGCAGTATCAACCTTTGAGATTGAAGCACCAAGTCTAATAAATAAATCTAATGTCAATGGATCTCCTTGGTATGCAGCCCACATCAAAGGAGTGTGTTGAAGCGTATCAGGAGTATCAATGTCCATATCTTGATATATTAGATATAAAACTAGCATAGTATTAGAGGAATGAGTTGCAAGGTGAAGCCCGTTAAATCCCTGAGAATCTCGTAAGTTTGGATCAGCTCCATGATTAATCAACAAGGTTACAATTGAAAGGTGTCCATTTCTAAAATATTTATTTTGTCAAGTAAATATTCACTAATTCCGCATAATTATTCTAAATCCTTCTAACAGATCAGTAAAAAAAAAAGCAACTCGAAAATAATGACATTAACGGTAAACGTAAACAAACCTTGCTGCCCAATGTAAAGGAGTTGCAACTAGATCACCACCAAAAGCATCGATTTCAGCTCCATTTTCGATCAAATATTTTGCTACAACTACTTGATTATTGATAGCAGCCCAATGTAAAGCCGTTACATTTTGTGAGTCTCTATCTGTAGCCTTAGCATATCCATTTTCAATTAAACTTTTAATAATATGTAAATTCCCTTGTTGAGCTGCTTGATGAATAGTCATTCCTATTATTTCGAATAAGATCATTCTTATATTAGATAAAAATAAGGCAATGGGAGCAAACACGGAAATCACTATTAACAGCATCCATAACCGATCTCGAAAGTTTTTCTATTCCGGAAATAAGATACCTGAAAAATGATCCCCAGCGGCAGAAAACGAGGTTATATGACTCTCCGTTTTGTTTACACTAACAGCAGCAGTAGCCTTTGCAGCGGAGATATTAAGACCACCTGGTGTACTTGAAACACCATCAGCACCATTACTACGCTCTGAATCATCGCCTTGTATTTTTGAAGGAGCCATTGAGCAATGTCAGTTTTCAGTTATGAACATCATTCAAAACCATCAATACATATAATATATATAATAGTCTAGTCGATCACTGATCAAAATCTTACCTAATCGAGATTTAAATAAAATTTGTACAATCATATTTGCATTGTAAAAATTTACTTTTTATTTTTTTTTATCGTTTTTATTTATTCATTTTATATTTCCAATTTTTTTTTTTTTTTGTTCTAAATTAAAAAATTACAAAAATATAAAAAAAAATAAAAATAAAATTATTATAAATAATATATATATTTCTCTATCTTTTTTTAAAAAAATTATAAAATGTCAATTATTGGAATATTTGTGTAAAGTATTAAGATCAATCAATTAATTACATTATCATTAAATAATTACAAAATGCTAGAGCAATTACATTATATGCTTTTTCTTGGTTAAATCTAATTCACTTTCAGTTCTTGTTAAAGGTAAAACAATTTCCTCTCTCTCCCTTGCTTTCCTTTCTTTTTTATCAACATCTAATTTAGCTTGATTATACATATAAAGACCTACAAAAGTTAATGTTATACCAATACCTTGTATAAAAGTAGTCTTTTGTCCAAACCATATTATACTTGCGGTTATAACGAAGATTCTTTTTACTAATGAGGCGATTGAATAAGTTACCGGGGAAGTCATGGATAAAATTGATAATGCTAAGATTGCTTGTGCAAAATGGGTTGTACCATTTAACCAAAAATAATATATTATTGTCCATCCACTTGTAGTATTTGTTGCAGTAGATGAATTGAAGTACTCTAATAGTAAATGAAAACCATCATAATATAACCACATTGGTGTCATTAGACTAAATGCCGATAAACTTGAGTAAAACGAAATGTTCAATTTATCTAATTTATGTGTTTCAAATCCGGGATGTTTTTCATTAAAAAGAATTTTTTTTGAGAAGATATTTTGTGCAACAAAAATTACAGTAGAAGTTAACGCAAACAAGAATCCAATAAAACTTGATGCTGATGAAGAAGAGCACGCGAGCATAACTCCAATTGTAAGTGGTATTAATGACACATATACCGGATATGAATAATTTACTCCAAATCCAAATTTGTAAAAGAACACCGTAAACAATGGAGATAATGCCTAAAAAAAGGAAGAAATTTGTTAAAAGAATTGTTCTTGCTTCGTTTCTTTCCATTTGCTTTCTCCTTAATTTCTTACCTTGATAGTGTGGACAAAACTGACGGGAACTATAGCAGTGGCAATACTTGAAAAAACATGGCTCCCTATTTGAAATAAGCATAAAGGTAAAGTTTTACGTATAATTCCTATATTTGGACTTCGAATTCTAGTTAAACCCATTCCTTGTCCAAAAGCGTAACAATAAAATCCAACAAAAATAAATTGTACCCAAGTGAGAGTAACTGGGTAATTAAATTGATTTAATAATTGTTTACTAGTATTATTGGTAATAGCTGATGAGGCATACCACAATAAACAATATACTATAAATTTTAATGTATCGTAATTTAATGAATTAGATATAGATCTTTTAAAGTTTACTAGTGAATATTCTATATTGACTGAAGATGATGTTAATTTCTCGGGTAAAAATGGTTTCGCCGAATTCATCATATTATTTATAATAGGATTAACCTTTTCTTTTTCTACCTCTTCATACTGTTGACGTAATTTCCCCAAAAGACTGTTGGACTTGTATTGTGCTCCAAAATCTAAACTTTGCATCCCAATAAATCGGGAACTTTTTAAACTATCAATATATGGTGTTGGATTTATATTTGGTGTCAATGAAGGTAACGTATAACTTTCTTTTGAAAATGATCTTTTTCGTGTTGGTCCTTGTTGTTTTTTTGCTTGTTGACCACTGCTATATCCGTTTATTACAAACTCCGTATCTATTCGAGGACCATTTGCCAAAATTCCGTTTGTAGTTGCCGTTGTAGTCATTGTGTTGCTAATGTTGTTAATATTAGATGTTTGAAAGGAAAGAGAGTTATATGAGTTAGTCGCTCGTCTTATTGAGGCAACTTTGGGTGTAGTATAAACTTGAGGTGTTGTAGCTTCTAATCCAGGTGCATACGCGCTAGTAACGGTTACAGGTGAAAACTCTTCTGGAGGATTGGGTGGCATCGTTTTATCCAAAAGTATATGAAAAAAAAAAAATTTTTTTGGAAGTTATAATAGGGGAAGATTTATATAATTTATTCGTTAATTAATTTATGTTGTACTTGTTGTACTTATCAAACCTTTTGCTCGGAAAATTATGGAATATATACTTATGGAAAATTACTAGAATTTGATGTATGATAAAAAGGAATTGTATGGGTCATGAACTAGCAAAATGTCCCTCCGAGACCCTCCGTCAAAAATTTTTTTTTATATGATAATCTAATTTTTACAATCTAAAATTGGAATAATATACATTTTTAAGGAGACATAAATAAAATATTCAATATTAAAAATTGATCATCATATTGCATGTTCTAAATAAACTTAAAACAACCTCAAAAAAGTAAGAGTCAGTCCATGATATTTTTTTTATAGTTCCCGATTTTTACTGAGCCGTTTTTTCTCGTTTTTCTGTGGCTTTTCTGATTTGTCGAGGCTTGGTCACCACATTCGGATATATAAACAGATATAAAAACAGATATAAAAGATAACATAGATAACATCTGACTTTCTATATATATCTGCATTTGTATAAATAGTATCGGCAACTTGGTAAAATTGAATGAACTTCAGAACCTTAGAAAGGAAGTTTACGATTGTAAAATAGGAAATGATATATGCTCGATTCTGTATAATCAATGGAAGTTCAAAAAAAAATTTTTTTGTTTCGAAATTGAAATTGCTAAATCTTTTTGAAACTTTCTATTTATTCGACTGAAATATAAATAAAGTTCACTATAGTAATTAAACAAGTTAAGATTTCAAGTAACAGAGGTTTCCGAATTGTTGAACGCCACAGATTGTCCTACAGTACAGACACTAAAAAATACGAAAAAAATTTATTAGATCGAATACTTTTTCCGTTGGTAGAAACACTTAGATTATGTAATCATGTAGATTTACTTATCACATGAACATCAACATCTTTTAATATATAGAAAAGTGGAAGCAAGCAACGCGTAATTCGTAGACTCCATTAAATAGCTTTAATCCATCAAATTATTCTTGTAATATTACAATAATACATTTGATATTAATTTCCCTCTTCGCTAGAGATGTATTTCAATATGATGAAAAGATTAGGTGGGTTAAAAATGGTTGCTTTTTTATTATAATAATAAGAGAGGTTATTTACAAACCAAATAAAAAAGAAATTCTTATATGCTAAGAAAAAAGGGTTCTGAGACTGTGTTAATAGTTTCAGAACCTCTTTACTTTCCATATAATAACTGGGACTATTAAGAAGTCTCTTTAAACTATTTTTAGGCAATTTTAAGTTTCTAGTTGTTGAAATTTAACAATTAGTTTATATAATAATATCTTTACCTAAACTTCTAATAGTACAATCTAACAAAGGGCTAGGTTTATCTTCGATTCTATTTAAAAGAAATTATGCAGGCTCCGCCGGAGGTAACAATGTCAGTTTAACACCAATTTAACGCGCTTTTATGGTAAATATTATACAGATTCTATTTTTTAGAATTGTTCTATTAACGTGGTTTATGTTTGTGTTTGACTTTCTATTTATCCTCAAAAATAGCTATTGAAAAAGACGCCGTTGTATGACTTTCATGTTGAAAATGGTGGGAAAATGGTAATAGTTTTTTTTTAAAAAAAAAAAAATAAAAAAAATAAAATAAAATACAAATAAATAAAATAATGTTATATTTATTCAGGTTTCTTTTGCTGGCTGGTCTATGCCAGTTCAATATTCAAACTTGGGAGTTTTAGCGTCGCATTTACACACTCGTGAGAACGCCTCTTTATTTGATGTATCGCATATGCTTCAGTTAAGGTAAATCATAAGATTAACCATTCTTTTATGACGAATTAGCTTTCCTTACATATATACTATATTTATACACATTTTTTTTTAAGACTTTCTGGGAAAGATCGTATATCTTTTCTTGAAAAGTTGGTTGTAGCTGATATAGAAGAATTACCATTCGGTAGCTCTACTTTGTCGGTTTTCACTAATGAAAATGGAGGCATAATTGATGATACTGTTATATGTAAACATGATGATTATATTCATATAGTGTCTAATGCTGCTTGTGCTGATAAAGATCTTATTCATATTCGTAAGGAAATGAATAAGTTTCAACAAAAAGGCGGTGACGTTGATTTAAAAGTTATTGACGATCATGCCTTATTGGCTTTACAAGGTATTTCATTCAGTTTAAAATACTTTATTTTTTAAAAAAAAAAGTACACAGATTTATAATTACACCTAATAGGTCCCAAAGCCGCTTCAGTTCTTCAAACGTTATGTGGTAAAGACTTGACAGATTTTAAGTTTATGACGGCACGTCAGCTTAATATAAAAAGCTCTGACTGTCATGTAACGCGTTCAGGATATACTGGAGAAGATGGCTTTGAGGTGTATATCAATTTTATTTGTTTGTCCATACTTAATTTAAGATAATCATTATTTTCTGAAGCATTTCTATTTTTATTATTACAAGATTGGCGTTCCATCATCAGATTCTGTCGAATTAGCAAATTTTCTTTTAAAATATCCTAGTGTCCAGCTAGCTGGGTTAGGTGCTCGAGATAGTTTGCGATTAGAGGCCGGTTTGTGTTTGTATGGTCATGACCTTGATGATACAACAACACCGGTAGAAGCTGGTTTGACGTGGACAATAGGTTTGTTCGAATTTGTCTGATTAAAATTATCAAATCATCATTTTTTTGACATTTGTAATTTTTTAGGCAAACGGAGAAGAAGTGAAGGTGGTTTTTTAGGAGCCGAACATATTCTACCTCAAATAAAGGGAGGGAAAACGCGTCGACGGATTGGACTTATTGTTGAAGGAGCACCAGCAAGAGGTATTTGTTATTAATTTTACACCTTTTATTTTATTTATTTGTTTTTTGGTTGACAATAACACTCATTCTTTTTCAGAAAATGCTGAAATTTACAATAATGAAAATGAATTAATCGGTGAGACATTTCTCTGTTATTAATTTAATTTTTATTATGTAATGTAATATTTATTATATTTATTTTTTTATTAGGTAATGTAACAAGTGGAGGACCATCTCCTTCATTGCAAAAGAATATTGCAATGGGTTATGTTAAAAAAGGATATCACAAATCTTCAACTGAACTTCAAGTTAAAGTTCGAAATCGAATGCAAAAAGCTCAAGTTGTTAAAATGCCATTTGTTCCTACAAGATATCATAAATAAACATTTATGTGAATTGATGTAGTTACAGAAATTGTATATTATTATTACTTTTATTCTTTAAATTTTGGAAAAATAGGTATCATGGATGATAATTTTACAATAAACTAGAAATTTATTAGATTGTTCTAATATTAAATAATACAACTACTAACTAAATATTTTAAATTAAGACAACCCATAAGTATAAATGTGTAAATATGTATAAAAATTATACTACTAAAAAACAAATATATATACGCACATAAATTACATCAAATATACTTCTAAATATTATTAAAATATTAACACAATTTTATATTTTATTGTGCTTATCTTAATTGGACACGTTATTAAAATAATATATATATATATATAAAAGAAAAGAAAAATAGATTTTACTGCTGTATTATTTGGCAATTGCATATCTTCCACTATGATTCTCAGTGGTATTAATCATTTCGGAAATCGTTTTTTGCATTATATACCATTCATCATCGCGCGGGTTTGCCAACTAGAAAATATAAAAAATATATTAGTAGGAAATAAATAGTTTACATTAAAATAATATCTAAAATATACCTCTCCAATATCATAAATATGAACACGTCCATCTGAAGAACCAATTGCTGTCTTTCGTCCTTCTTTATCCCAATTAATTTTATTCAAAGCTTTGGCTTGGCTTCCAACTTGAGTACTTACAATTGGTACCTATGATTAATTTAATACGATAAAACTTTAATAATAAACTAAAATTTCCATAAAAAGTTAAAAAACCAATCTGACCTCAGTATCAACATTCAAATTCCACACAGAGAATTTTCCTGTACCATCTACAGAAGCGAACAGAGCTGGATGTTTGGGAGACCATTTAACATCATAAACATAATCATCAGCACCCTCAAATGAATATAATGGAGTAATTGACTGTGGTGAAGTTGATGGTTTTGATATCGACTATGATTTGATTGTGAAGAAATTAACGTGAATAAAATTAGATTTCAATTCAAGATTCGTATAACTATTTCTTTTTCATCAATATTACTTTGGCTCTCCATAATTTACAAGTCCAGTCCACAGAAGAAGTCAAATATAAATCTGAAAAGTCGACTGGTCCAGCAACAGGATGGAAATGAAGACCAGTAATAGGCCCCCAATGTCCTTTGTAGACATCATATTGATTAATACCAGCTTTACTGTAATTTTTCAAAAAAAAAAAAGGGGTTAAGCTCACATAAATCATATTTTATTTGTAAGAAATATAAATTCTTACCCGCCAGCACGTCCATATCGATTAGCTTGGTAACAAACACCTTCTTCGGTTCCAACCCAGAAAGCAGCAGTTTCATTATCCGGAAAACCGAGAGCTGTAACTGAAACTTCATCAGTCTTGCTATGTTCGGAGTGAACCAATTCCAGTGTTTCCTAAAAAGGGTATAATTATTGCAGCGTATCAATATATAAAGATAAACAGATTATATTAAAAAACCCAGTATATACCTGTGGTTGGACCAACATATCCAATTGCCAGGAACAAATTAATCCATCCGTACTTGCAGTGATGAGATTATGAGCATTTTGTGTTCCAACCATTTGCATTGAATATACGGGATGAGTATGTCCAGAAGCTGAAAGTGGAGTTTTGAGAACAGGTAAAGATTTTGCCCTCATATCCCAAAGCACTATTTGACCTGAATATGTTCCTCCTATTACAAGAGTTGGATGAAATTCGGAAAACATGGTTGTAAGAACGTCAGACTATAAGGTAGAAAAGTTAGCTTATGATTATATTTAAGAATATTTAATATAATTTGAATAAAGAGAAAGATCATACTTGTGAATGGAAAATATATTCGGGTCGATCTAATAATTGTAAACTCCATACTAAAGCAACACCATCTGGTTCATTCATTGCAAGAGGATTTTTATTATATGAAGCAACGCATAATTCAGGATTCTAAATAAAGATTAAACTTTAAATAAAATTCTAAAGATTTAGGTTATATCGAAAACGAACTTAAAATAAATTAGATATTTATTTACTTTGTGTGACCAATTTACATCAGTAACTGAACGGTTTTTGGTCCATCGTTCATCAAAGAACGAATGTATATTTTTAACCCTAGATCCTGATTGGTCATCACTTCAAACGAAATTATATAGAAAGAAAATATCGTGAATAAATAAATAATTTTATAATTTTTTTTTTATAATAATAAAATAAATAGGTAACTACTAACCTTTCATTATCTTTAATAATTGAATAATCTTTCATAATGTCATAATTCTCATTAATCGCTCGTTCAATAATTTTAGTTGAATGATCAACAAATTTAGTAAATTCATTTGAAACAAGAATCTTTTTTCTATCCTCGTCCGATAAATCTTTAAGTTGTTGCGCTCTTTTCCTTTCTGCTTCGATTTTTAATTTTTCTTCTTCCAAAGCAATTTGACGTGCCTTTTCTTTCTCCTCTTGTTCTTTTAAGATTCTAGCACGAATTACACGTTCATCAGGTGGTGGTGGCCCAAAGGAATTTTCATCAGTTTGAACTTCTTTACTGTAAAGAACAAGTTCCTAACGAATAGTGAAAATCTAATTAGAAACTATCTTGTAACACCTACATATAAAAATGGAATCGTTATCTACCTTTGGAGCAATATCTAATATCACTGCTTCAAATGAGGAGAATTCAGGAATATAGCGAGGCGGCACCGTTACACTCGGACTAAATTTACAAACCAAATATTTAAAATTCAGATTATTATATAAATTAGTTAAATCAAATATTAGCCAATTTATATTAAGTACCTTTGAGGAGTTGAGGTTCCGGGAGAAATACCGTAGCCTGTAGAAATAGAGCTATGGCGTGCATGATGTGAGGGTATCACTTTTTCAGATTCCGTATCGTCAGCTTTCGACGGTGTTCCAGGATGTTCTCCGTCTAACAAGGAACTGACGAGTTCATTAATCATTTCCTTGCGACTCCTTTCCTATAAAAACAAAGAAAAAACACCATTAATTAATGTCTATAAAGACAAAAAGTAAAAATATTTATGATATACTAACCATACTAACCACAGGCTTCTCTTCTTGCTTCTGAGCTGCATTGATAAATACTTGCTTTCTCTCCTCTCTTGCACGACGAAGCTCGGCAAGTTTTTGTCTTTTCTTTTCTAACTCTTCTTTTCTACGGTCTATTTCCATCATTTTTTTTTTTCAAATTTAGGATTAATGGTCAAACGAATATAAGCCTTAAATACCTATCGATTGATTTCCGACCAAAAAAGAAAGCTAATTATTACAATAATACGTCAGTGTATATATAAGGAAACCTTAATATACGTGGAAATTCCGAATCAAGTTTAATCCTTGCTGCGGTTTGACTCGTGGAGTTAAAGTCCAAGCACACCTACATATGAAAAACAAAAAAAGAAGTCTATGGTATTGGATTTAAAAAACCCTGCATATTCGAGTTCCGCCACAATTCTAAAGAAAAAAATTTTGTAATTTAATAGTTAGCGTTAGTTCAATAAACTTTTTTGGTAAATCGTACAGATTTTCCCACATTGATTCTGTTGGACAACCGAGTCCGAATTTCAACCGACCGAGTCGCATGATTAATGAAAGGGTCTAACGACTGTAACGACTGACCGACCAGGATTGGCCATAGCTTGTCTCTATTACATATAATGTCGATCACTTCCGGTTGTTTTTTTTAAATATTCGGATCTCTCTCGCTTTTTTTTGATTTTAATTGTTTTTTCTTTCGCAAGAAAACTTATTTATTAAATATCAGGAAGTGCGTCTCATTATTTATTAGTGTGTATCATAATATTATTTTAAAGAATTAAATTGAAATAAAATAACTTGGTGCATCGTAAAAAAAATATAATTCGTTTGAAAAGTTTTTTCGCTTAGATATTTTAATTTATGTGATGGATTACAGTAATAGTTCTGCAGTCTTTCTAACAAACTAACCATGAAATCTAAATAATAATGACCTTCGCAAATAAAGTCTTTAAATTCTGAATCACTAACATGTTCAATTCCTAAAAATATTTCAAGGTCCAAACCCGATTTATACTTTAACCAACAAAATAGCATTTACTTTTTAGAGGAAAAAAGGAATATGCAAAATCAAACAGCGGTTTTATCAGACTCTTCTGACGCATCCGATATTAACAATATCAAAGCTCCAAACGTATTCATATCTCCACATTTCAGGACAAGGACAAATACAGCACGCTTGTCATTCAAAGATTTTCAAAAGAAAGATAATCCACCAAATTTGTCCGCTGCTCAAAACCCTATCCTATGCGATTCACTCACTCCAACATTTGCAAATTTATTTTTCAAGAAATTTGGAAACAAGTCAAATGAAATTACAAATGAATCTACTACACTTAGTGCAGAAAGAATTGTAGAAAAAGAAAAGTTAAACAATGTTACCTTAAATAAAGCAAAGTCCTTATATCATGAAAAAACAGCGGAATCCTTTAATAATGAGCCTTCAATTCAAGAAAATACTTCAGATAAAGAAACTTGCGCTGATTCTAATAATTCTTCACTTCAATCTCCAGAACTGTCCTCACAGCGAACATCTTTTCTGGCCGAGAATAAAATTTTAGCTCACAATCTAAATTCTGACACTTACTTAGATCAGACATCATCATCCTTATCGAAAAATGATTACCCTCAGACGGATATTGATGAAATATTAATAGAAGATAATACCGAGATATCTAAAGAAAACGACAAAGATAACGTTGAAGGATCACTTTCCTTAAATAAAAATAATTCAGATAATTTTCTTTTTTCTCGAAAACTTTCTTGCAATTCTGAAATGAAGGATAATTTGAATGATGATAATGAGTTAAATCTAACAATTGGAACTATTCAAAGATGGAAAGATGAAGTGATGAGAAGGGATTGTCTTATAGAAGATCTGGTGAGACGAGATATATATAATATTTTTTGCAAGATTTTTATAATCAATGAAAGAATATATTATTTTAAAATTTAATTAATTGTGATTATCAGCGTAATCAGATTGCTACGCTTCGCGATACTTTAGAACGTAAAAAAAAATCTTTATTCAATTATCGCGAACGTATGCTTCTTGTGGAGTCAATAATTAAACAGAAACAAATTAATACCGAACGTAATCGAGAAAGAATCGATAATATCAAGTTAAAGTATTCATTGTTTAATAACTTACTCTATAATATGGGCAATAATATGGAGAAAATATGTAATCATAAAGAAAGAATAGAAGGAGAGTTTGAATCAATGAAATCAGGTAGGTTTATTTGCTGATACAAATATTTAATTATTCAAAATCCCTCTAATTGATATCGTAAATTTAACAGACTTTAGTAAGTTAACTATTAAATATAAGTCAACTTTAGATAATAGTGTTGCAACTTCTCAAGCACGTATGTATTATTATTAAAGTTAATATTACTTTGTTGTTTTGTTAACATTTAGACTTATTGTAAATCCTCTGTATATTAGAACAAGATCAACTTGTACAAATTACTGAATTTAACTCAAAACTTATCGAAGCAAATGCACAGCTCACGGATATTATAACTCGATTACGTCAAGAAATACAAGATACAGATAGTAAAGCTTCAAACTATTCATCCGAACTTGATAGTATTTTAAACCAATTATTGAGTGAGGTTGAGAATGAAGAATTTAAAGATAATCGAAGTTTGATAAAGTCAAATTACGAAAACGAGGAAAAGTATGTGGTTAATATGTAACGAATAAGTTTACAAGACGATAATCTTGCTCATTCATTTAATATAGAATTGCTTCTCTGACAATCAATAAAATTGAACGGAAAATTGAGTCTATTCGATCGGAAGTTACTCAACTGAATCTAATAATTAAGGAGAAAGATGAACGGTATTTTGATAGAAATATATACATACATTTATTTATTTATACACATTATTGCTTTATCTTTTTTTCTTTTCTAGTATAGCTCATTTAGATGTAGCTGAAAAGGAAAGGGATGACTTTAAAGTAAAAATTATTCAAGCAAAGGAATTAATGAAAAAGGATCGCGATTCACTCAAGCAAGAAATGGAAATCATGCGTGCTCAACATGAATCTGATCTTAAGCGGGTTGAATCAGAATTTTGTAGGGACCGTTATAAATTACAGAATGATTTTCACAAAGAACGTTCTCAACTTGAGGCTGAATGGCGCGAAGAACGCCTTCGACTAGAATCAGAACGTCATGAAGAACGTAATCATCGTTTACGTTTAGAAGATGAATATCGGGATGAAAGGTCAGAACGCCTTAGGATTGAAACTGAATTAAGAAGCTCTGAACGAAAAGTAGAAGAAATGTCCAAGACGAACAATAATGACAATTTAAGGTAAATACTGTATTACTATGATTAATGATAAAATATTTGATACTAATTATGTTTAAAATCTTAACAGGATTGCACAATTAGAATCCCAATTAAATAAAATGGATTTTTGTCAACCAGAAATTTCTACTGGTACGTTTGAATATTTTTCTGACAATACCAAATTATTGATTATGAAATAAAATTATACATTTAGTCGCTGTCGGAACTGCTGATATACAAGATTTAGATCTTCAAATTCAACATAATAAAATTGTTTCTGAACTTAATAAAAATAATCTTGATAATAAAATGAAAATCGAAAATTTAATAGCCGAGTTAGAAACCTGGAAGGTATGGTGTTTTAGTTATTAACTTTTATGATAAGGTCTAATTTATTTATTACAACATAAAGTCCAAGTCCAGTTCACTCGAGTCACAGCTGATTTCATCGAACTCGATGTATAATAAATTACGTGAACACAACAAAACCCTTGTTGAGATTAGCGACAGTTATCTGCAGGTAATTGATTCGTAGTTTATTAATGAATTAAGACTATTAATTAAGCCAAAAACTAATTTATTGTAGAACAAAGAAGCAGTGGATCAAGCACTTAATCGCACCACTAATTATTATCAAGACATAGCTAAAAAAATTGCTGTAGAACATGAAAATGAAATTCGAAAGCGTGATTGCAAAATCGGTGAGATTGAAACGAAAGAAGTATCTTTATTAGAAGAAATCGTAAGTTGATTTCTGAATCTAGAATGAATATTTTATCAAATTTACCTATTCATATCTCTTTTTTTTTTACAGCAAATGTTAAAGTCCAAACTATTAAAAATGGAGGACAGCAATAAATCTTTACAAAACCAAATAGTGAGTTTTATTTTATTCAAACAAAAATAATCAATATTATTTCGGTTTCTAGTAAAATAATGGTATTTAACATGATAATTAACCTTATTTATTATAGAATGAAATAAATGTAGAAAATGAAGACTCTAATTCTAAGAAAAACGAACATCCATCTGAAGTAAAGTTTTTTTTTCTCTTTTTATATACGAATATAATATTTATTAAGTTGTTTTATATATTTAATAGGACGCAACTGCTTGTGTTTTGAAACCAATTTCTAATATTGAAGATTCGAGATTTGATCTACATCCTCATAAACTTTTAACATTAACTGAAATTGATTCAATGATCTTGGTGAGATAAATTATTTATTAAAAATTTTAACTTATCATCTAGATATGATGTAACGTAGTATTTGGATATTCAGGAATCTACGTCAAGAAATACATATAGACACACTAACATAAATACCCAATCGAAAGATGACGATATTCAAAAAATACAAGAACTTAATAATGATAAAAACATACAGTATATGAGATCAAATTCTAATCTAACGGTGACTGTTCCAGATATACTTTAAATTACTATAAATGAAAATATAAATTCTTTTACCTAATTTTCTATCTTTGTCATACTTAAGGAAACTGAGCGCATTGTCGAAAATGTTACTATTCAAGCGGGATATAGCAATAATAATATATATGATACTCTTCAAAGTTCTAATGATGCAAGAGACATAGATGACTGGTTGTCTCCGAGTTCTAATTTGAGATCCAAACGAAGAAAGGTAAATTATATATTCTTACAAATTATTAAAATCATTTACTTTAATTTTATTTCGATTTTCATAATAGACGGGTTGTTCGGAAAGTGCCGATAAACACGTAGGACGATTACATGTCCCATCAACAAACACTTCTATGATCTTAGGTGTGAAAGAAGTATCAAAGTTGGAGACACGATTGAGAGGTAAATCGAAAGCTGGACGTAGAACCAATGAAAAAGAATAAATTTATGAAATATGTAGTATCTATTCAAATGATTATTCGCATTCAAACAAGTTATTTATCATTACATTATGTTTATAAGCGAATCCTAATTGAAATTACAATACTTTAATATAATTTTCTGAATAGCATTAACGCATGAGAAATAAGAATCTTATCTTAAGACGAGAAATTTATTTTGTGTCATATGATCCCTGTAACGAAGTTTCTCATACTTTACAACGGTTATTAAGATGTTTTTTCTCTCTCTCTGAAGGTTAACTAGTAAATGATACTTAAATGGGGTAAAGCTTTTATCGACTCTTATATAAATAGTTTTTTAGATCAATTAGAGTTACATGAATTGTTTTTATTATAAAATTGATGATAATAGTCTAAAAAACCGAAAATTTTTGTATCGATCGGTTTTTTTGCCTGGAAATTTTAAGGGGTTTTTTTTTCGAATCAAATGAAAAATTAACAAACCGGAAATAAAATTAAGCCAAATTTTTGAAGTACATGTTTCTTCTTCTTACTTTCAGATATTTATGGAGACATTCAGATTCATCTCCTCGATTTTATTAAAGGTATAAGAAGAAATTGGTATAGATATTGATATACCATCTAATTTAACCCACTCTAAATATAGTTTAAATTTTTTTACCCTAAATATATGACGACCTATGTGATCTGTATACCCATCCTGGTATGTGAAATATGCATCTAATACCATTGGAGACATCTTTCAGATAGTTTATTTGTTTCTGGATCTATAAAATCTTGATTATCTGGATTAATAGTACACTTTTTGTTGGCGAGCTGTTTTGGTATAGGAATATAAGATTCTTCAAGAGCTTGATGAAGTGTATATAACTCTATAAGTATCATTTCTAATTGAAGAAGAATTTTACCTAATTCTTCTTTCAAATTGCTTTTGATCTTTTGATTGATTTCTATACCAGATTGAATTATATGCTTATCTAAATATTGCTCAGAAAGAATTTCATGTTGTTGACTTCTATGATATACACTAGTCGAACGATGACAAATAGGGGACCAATCGGGTCAAATCTGGGTTGCCAGATTTGACCTGAATGGTCCCCTATTTTTTTGTTTTTTTAGAATCAGGTGATCCCGATTGATGACGATTAATGGCGCAGATAGGATACAAT